GCTGCAATTGCTGTTGTTAAAGAAACAGCTTCTCCCGATAAACATAAAGACATTGTATCTAAACAAAAAGACGATGGCAGCATTGAACTTGATGATACAATATGTAAGGAATTGATTGCTACTAAGGAAGAAATTATTGATACGATTAAAGAGAAAATTACTCATCCGAAACTCCAATTACCCGATCTTTCATCAAGTCTTGCAACCGCAGTTAACCTTTCATATCTGGAAAATGCAGCGTCAAAATATAAAGGTGATTGGGTAGATAAATATAATAAAGCTCGTGACTATCTTTCCAAACAAATTGGTGATGCCGATGCTGAAAAAGAATTATTAGATTGTGCTGATGAGTTTGTAGTTGAAAAAACTACATATAAAGTGATTGACGAAAAGAAACGAGATGTAATTGATCTTAAGAAAGATGAAATACCGAAAGAAGAAAAATCTAAAGCTAAAGTTAAAAGCTTTATTGGTACTCTTTATGATGGTGCTGCTAAACTTGAAGATCAAATTGAAAAAGCCCTTGGGTTTGATCAAGATAAAGATAAACTTGATGATTATGAGAAAGCGGAAGCACTCATAGTCGTTGAGGAAGCAGCCTCCCCCGAAAAATGCAAAGAAATCGTCGCTGATCAAAAAGATGATGGCTGTATTGAATTAAAAGATACTGTTTGTGACGAACTAGATGCACCTAAAGAAGAAATTATTAAGACAATTCAAAAGAACATTACTAATCCGAAACTCAAATTACCCGAGTCAAGTCTTGCAACTGCTATTAATCTTTCATACCTTAAGAAAGCTGCACCTAAACACGAAGGTGTATGGAAAGACAAAGCTGACAAAGCTCGTAAATATCTCTCGGACCAAATAGGAGATAAAGATGCAGAAAAAGAACTTGAAGAATGTGCGGATAATTATGTAGTTGATAATTGCGTTAAGAAGGTGATTAAAAATAAAAAGAGAAATGCTGTCGTTACGGTGCAGGAGTCTGCCACACCAGAAAAATGTGATGACATAGTATCTGATCAAAAGGATGACGGATCTATTGAAGTTAGTGAGACAATTTGTAAAGAAATAGACGTTCTAGTTACAGATGTAGTACCTGAAGTGAAAGAATGTACAGAAAATCCAAAGCTTAAATCTCCAGAATCAGAACCATGGTGGAAGACAGGACTTGCCACTAGCTACCTTAATATCGCCGCACCACATCATAAAAACCAATGGGAAGATAAATCTAAAAAAGCTAATGAATTTCTTTCCAAACAAATTGGAGATGCTGATGCTGAAAAAGAATTAAAAGATTGCACTGATAAATATGTCGTTGATAATATTGCTAAAAAAGTTGAAAAAGATCATAAGAGAACAGCTGCAATTGTTGTTATTCAAGAAAGAGCTTCTCCCGATAAACATAAGGAAATTGTGTCTAATCAAAAAGAAGATGGCAGCATTAAACTAGATAACTCAGTATGCAAGGAGTTAGATACTCCTAAAGAAGAAATTATCAAGACCGTTAGAAAGAATCTTACTAATAAGAAACTTCAGTCACCCGAATTTTCATCGAGTCTTGAAACTGCTATTAATCTTTCATATCTGAAAAATGCTGCGCCTAAATATAAAGGTGATTGGGTAGACAAATATAATAAAGCTCGTGAATATCTTTCTAAACAAATTGGAGATGCTGATGCTGAAAAAGAATTGTTGGAATGTGCCGATAAGTATGTAGTAGATAAAGCAGCGGATAAAGTGATTAAGGAACATAAAAAAGATGTAATTGATCTTAAGAAAGGTGAAAAACCTAAGGATACATCCTTTTTCAGCTCTATTTATGAATCGGCTGCTAAACTTGGAGAAAATATTGAAAAAGCCCTTGGATATGATAGAAGTAAACCTAAAGACTATGAGAAAGCGGAAGCAATTACTATTGTTCAGGACTCGGCCTCTCCTGAAAAATGCAAAGAAATCGTCGCGGATCAAAAAGAAGATGGAAGCATTGAATTAAGTGATACAGTTTGTGACGAACTAGATGCTCCTAAAGAAGAAGTTATTAAGACAATTAAAAAGAACATTACGAATAAGAAGCTTCAATCACCCGAATTCTCATCAAGTCTTGCAACTGCAGTTAATCTTTCATACCTTAAGAAAGCTGCATCTAAGCATGAGGGTGAATGGAAAGATAAATATAATAAAGCCCGTGAATATCTCTCAAAACAAATAGGAGATAAAGATGCCGAAAAGGAACTTGAAGAATGCGCGGATAATTATGTAGTTGATAATTGTATTAAGAAGGTGATTAAAAATAAAAGGAGAAATTCAGTTCGTAAGGCGCAAGAATCTGCCACACCAGAAAAATGCGATGACATAGTGTCTAGTCAAAAGGATGACGGATCTATTGAAGTTAGTGAGACAATTTGTAAAGAATTAGACGTTCCAGTTACCGTTGTAGTATCTGAAGTGAAAAAATGTACACAAAATCCGAAGCTTAGATCTCCAGAATCAGAATCATGGTGGAAGACAGCACTTGCAGTTAGCTACTTTGATGTCGCTGCACCAAAACATAAAAAGCCATTGGAAGATAAATATAATAAAGCTCGTGAATACCTTTCTAAACAGATTGGAGATGAGGATGCTGCAAAAGAATTATTAGATTGCACAGACCAATATATAGTTGATAACATTACTAAAAAGGTTGAGAAAGATCTTAAAAAAGAAGCTGCAATTGCTATAGTTCAAGAATCAGCTTCTCCCGATAAACATAAAGAAATTGTATCTCAACAAAAAGACGATGGCAGCATTGAAATTGATGATTCAATATGTAAGGAATTGCATGCTCCTAAAGATGAAATTATCGATACAATTAAAGAGAAAGTTACTAATCCAAAACTCAAATTACCTGAGCATAAATCAAGTCTTGCAACTGCAATTAACCTTTCATATCTGAAAAATGCAGCGCCTAAATATAAAGATGACTGGGAAGACAAATATAATAAAGCCCGTGAATATCTCTCAAAACAAATAGGAGATAAAGATGCCGAAAAAGAACTTGAAGAATGTGCTGATGAATATGTAATTGATAAAACTACAGTTAAAGTAATTGAGGAAAAGAAACAAGAAATAATTGATCAAAATAAAGATGAAATACCGAAAGTAGAAGAACCTAAAGCTAAAGCTAAAAGCTTTATCGCTGCAATCTATGACGGTGCTGTTAAACTTGAAGATCAAATTGAAAAAACCCTTGGGTTTAATCAAGATAAAGATAAACTTGATGATCATGAGAAAGCGGAAGCACTCATAGTTATTGAGGAAGCAGCCTCTCCTGAGAAATGCAAAGAAATCGTTGCGGATCAAAAAGATGATGGTTGTATTGAATTAAAAGATACTGTTTGTGACGAACTAGATGCACCCAAAGAAGAAATTGTTAAGACAATTCAACCAAAGCTTCAACATAAGAAGCTTCAACAATTACCCAATCTTCCATCAATTCTTGAAACTGCTATTAATCTTTCATACCTTAAGAAAGCTGCTCCTAAACATGAAGGTGTATGGAAAGACAAAGCTGACAAAGCTCATGAATATATCTCAGACCAAATAAAAGATAAAGATGCAGAAAAAGAACTTGAAGAATGTGCGGATAATTATGTAGTTGATAATTGCGTTAAGAAGGTGATTAAAGATAAAAAGAGAAATGCTGTCGTTACGGTGCAGGAGTCTGCCACACCAGAAAAATGCGATGATATAGTATCTAATCAAAAGGACGACGGATCCTTTGAAGTTAGTGAGACAATCTGTAAAGAAATAGACATTCCAGCTACCAAAGTAGTAAATGATGTAAAAAAATGTTCACAAAATCCAAAGCTTAGATCACCAGAATCCGAACCATGGTGGAAGACAGGACTTGCTACTAGCTACCTTAATATTGCCGCACCACATCATAAAAAACAATGGGAAGATAAATCTAAGAAAGCTCAAGAATATCTCGCTAAAGAAATTAAAAATCCTGATGCTGAAAAAGAATTAATAGATTGCACTGATAAATATGTCGTTGATAACCTTACTAAAAAGGTTGAAAAAGATCATAAGAAAGATGCTGCAATTGCTGTTGTTAAAGAAACAGCTTCTCCCGATAAACATAAAGACATTGTATCTAAACAAAAAGACGATGGCAGCATTGAACTTGATGATACAATATGTAAGGAATTGCTTGCTCCTAAGGAAGAAATTATTGATACGATTAAAGAGAAAGTTACTAATCCAAAACTCAAATTACCTGAGCATAAATCAAGTCTTGCAACTGCAGTTAACCTTTCATATCTGAAAAATGCAGCGTCTAAATATAAAGGTGATTGGGTAGATAAATATAATAAGGCTCGTGACTATCTTTCTAAACAAATTGGTGATGCCGATGCTGAAAAAGAATTAATAGATTGTGCTGATGAGTTTGTAGTTGAAAAAACTACATATAAAGTGATTGACGAAAAGAAACGAGATGTAATTGATCTCATGAAAGATGAAATACCTAAAGTAGAAGAACCTAAAGCTAAAGCTAAAAGCTTTATCGGTGCTATCTATGACAATGCTGTTAAACTTGAAGATCAAATTGAAAAAGCTCTTGGGTTTGATAAAGATAAAGATAAACCTGATGATCATGAGAAAGCGGAAGCACTCATAGTCGTTGAGGAAGCAGCCTCTCCTGAGAAATGCAAAGAAGTCGTCGCGGATCAAAAAGATGATGGTTGTATTGAATTAAAAGATACAGTTTGTGATGAATTGGATGCACCCAAAGAAGAAATCATTAAGACAATTCAACCAAAGCTTCAACATAAGAAGCTTCAACAATTACCCAATCTTCCATCAATTCTTGAAACTGCTATTAATCTTTCATACCTTAAGAAAGCTGCTCCTAAACATGAAGGTGTATGGAAAGACAAAGCTGACAAAGCACGTAAATATCTCTCAGACCAAATAGCAGATAAAGATGCAGAAAAAGAACTTGAAGACTGTGCGGATAATTATGTAGTTGATAATTGCGTTAAGAAGGTGATTAAAGATAAAAAGAGAAATGCAGTCGAAACGGTGCAGGAGTCTACCACACCAGAAAAATGCGATGACATAGTATCTAATCAAAAGGACGACGGATCCTTTGAAGTTAGTGAGACAATTTGTAAAGAAATAGACGTTCCAGTTACCAAAGTAGTAAATGATGTAAAAAAATGTTCACAAAATCCAAAGCTTAGATCACCAGAGTCAGAACCATGGTGGAAGACAGGACTTGCTACTAGCTACCTTAATATTGCCGCACCACATCATAAAAAACAATGGGAAGATAAATCTAAGAAAGCTCAAGAATATCTCGCTAAAGAAATTAAAAATCCTGATGCTGAAAAAGAATTAATAGATTGCACTGATAAATATGTCGTTGATAACCTTACTAAAAAGGTTGAAAAAGATCATAAGAAAGATGCTGCAATTGCTGTTGTTAAAGAAACAGCTTCTCCCGATAAACATGAAGAAATTGTATCTAAACAAAAAGACGATGGTAGCATTGAGCTTGATGACTCAATATGTAAGGAATTGCATGCTCATAAAGAAGAAATTATTGATACAGTTAAAGAGAAAGTTACTAATCCAAAACTCAAATTACCTGAGCATAAATCAAGTCTCGCAACTGCAGTTAACCTTTCATATCTAAAAAATGCAGCGTCTAAATATAAAGGTGATTGGGTAGATAAATATAATAAAGCCCGTGACTATCTTTCTAAACAAATTGGTGATGCCGATGCTGAAAAAGAATTATTGGATTGTGCTGATGAGTTTGTAGTTGAGAAAACTACATATAAAGTGATTGACGAAAAGAAACGAGATGTAATTGATCTTAAGAAAGATGAAATACCAAAAGTAGAAGAACCTAAAGCTAAAGTTAAAAGCTTTATCGCTGCTATCTATGACGATGCTGTTAAACTTGAAGATCAAATTGAAAAAACCCTTGGGTTTAATCAAGATAAAGATAAACTTGATGATCATGAGAAAGCGGAAGCACTCATAGTTGTTGAGGAAGCAGCCTCTCCTGAGAAATGTAAAGAAATCGTCGCGGATCAAAAAGATGATGGTTGTATTGAATTAAAAGATACTGTTTGTAACGAACTGGATGCACCTAAAGAAGAAATTATTAAGACAATTCAACCAAAGCTTAAAAATCAGAAGCTTCAATTACCCAATCTTCCATCAATTCTTGAAACTGCCATTAATCTTTCATACCTTAAGAAAGCTGCACCTAAACATAAAGATAAATGGGAAGACAAAGCTGACAAAGCTCGTAAATATCTCTCTGACCAAATAGGAGATAAAGATGCAGAAAAAGAACTTGAAGAATGTGCGGATAATTATGTAGTTGATAATTGCATTAAAAAGGTAATTAAAGATAAAAAGAGAAATGCAGTCGTTACGGTGCAGGAATCTACCACACCAGAAAAATGCAATGAAATAGTGTCTGATCAAAAGGATGACGGATCCTTTGAAGTTAGCGAGACAATTTGTAAAGAAATAGACATTCCAGCTATCAAAGTAGTAAATGATGTAAAAAAATGTTCACAAAATCCAAAACTTAGATCACCAGAATCAGAACCATGGTGGAAGACAGGACTTGCCACTAGCTACCTTAATATCGCCGCACCAAATCATAAAAACCAATGGGAAGATAAACATGATAAAGCTCGTAAATACCTTTCTGAACAAATCAACGATGCAGAACTTGAAAAAGAAATATTAGATTGCACTGATAAATATGTCGTTGATAACATTACTAAAAAGGTTGAAAAAGATCATAAGAAAGATGCTGCAATTGCTGTTGTTAAAGAAACAGCTTCTCCCGATAAACATAAAGACATTGTATCTAAACAAAAAGACGATGGTAGCATTGAACTTGATGATGAAATATGTAAGGAATTGCATGCTCCTAAAGATGAAATTATTGATACAGTTAAAGAGAAAGTTACTAATCCAAAACTTAAATTACCTGAGCATAAATCAAGTCTCGCAACTGCAGTTAACCTTTCATATCTAAAAAATGCAGCGTCTAAATATAAAGGTGATTGGGTAGATAAATATAATAAAGCTCGTGACTATCTTTCTAACAAAATTGGTGATGCCGCTGCTGAAAAAGAATTATTAGATTGTGCTGATGAGTTTGTAGTTGAAAAAACTACATATAAAGTGATTGACGAAAAGAAACGAGATGTAATTGATCTTAAGAAAGATGAAATACCGAAAGAAGAACCTAAAGCTAAAGCTAAAAGCTTTTTCGGTATTATCTATGACAATGCTGTTAAACTTGAAGATCAAGTTGAAAAAGCCCTTGGATTTGATAAAGATAAACTTGATGATCATGAGAAAGCGGAAGCACTCATAATCGTTGAGGAAGCAGCCTCTCCTGAGAAATGCAAAGAAATCGTCGCGGATCAAAAAGATGATGGTTGTATTGAATTAAAAGATACAGTTTGTGATGAATTGGATGCACCCAAAGAAGAAATTATTAAGACAATTCAACCAAGGATTCAAGATAAGAAGCTTCAACAATTACCCAATCTTCCATCAATTCTTGAAACAGCTATTAATCTTTCATACCTTAAGAAAGCTGCACCTAAACATGAAGGTGTATGGAAAGGCAAAGCTGACAAAGCTCGTGAATATCTCTCAGACCAAATAAAAGATAAACATGCCGAAAAAGAACTTGAAGAATGTGCGGATAATTATGTAGTTGATAATTGCGTTAAGAAGGTGATTAAAGATAAAAAGAGAAATGCAGTCGTTACGGTGCAGGAGTCTATTACACCAGAAAAATGTGATGACATTGTATCTAATCAAAAGGAAGACGGGTCTATTGAAGTTATTGAGACAATTTGTAAAGAAATAGACGTTCCAGCTACTAAAGTAGTAACTGAAGTGAAAAAAGGTACACAAAATAAGAAACTTAGATCACCCGAATCAGAACCATGGTGGAAGACAGCACTTTCTCTTAGCTACCTTAATATCGCCGCACCACAGCATAAAAAACAATGGGAAGATAAACATGATAAAGCTCGTAAATACCTTTCTGAACAAATTGGAGATGATGATGCTGCAAAAGAATTATTAGACTGCACTGATAAATACGTCGTTGATAATATTGCTAAAAAGGTTGAAAAAGATCATAAGAAAGATGTTGCAATTGTTGTTGTTCAAGAATCAGCTTCTCCTGATAAACATAAAGACATTGTATCTAAACAAAAAGACGATGGTAGCATTGAACTTGATGATGAAATATGTAAGGAATTGCATGCTCCTAAAGATGAAATTATTGATACAGTTAAAGAGAAAGTTACTAATCCAAAACTTAAATTACCTGAGCATAAATCAAGTCTCGCAACTGCAGTTAACCTTTCATATCTAAAAAATGCAGCGTCTAAATATAAAGGTGATTGGGTAGATAAATATAATAAAGCTCGTGACTATCTTTCTAAACAAATTGGTGATGTCGATGCTGAAAAAGAATTATTAGATTGTGCTGATGAGTTTGTAGTTGAGAAAACTACAGTTAAAGTGATTGACGAAAAGAAACGAGATGTAATTGATCTCAAGAAAGATGAAATACCGAAAGAAGAAAAACCTAAAGCTAAAGCTAAAAGCTTTATCGGTACTATCTATGACAATGCTGTTAAACTTGAAGATCAAATTGAAAAAGCCCTTGGATTTGATAAAGATAAAAAACCTGATGATCATGAGAAAGCGGAAGCACTTATAGTTGTTGAGGAAGCAGCCTCTCCCGAAAAATGTAAAGAAATCGTCGCGGATCAAAAGGATGATGGTTGTATTGAATTAAACGATACAGTTTGTGATGAATTGGATGCCCCCAAAGAAGAAATTGTTAAGACAATTCAACAAAAGCTTCAAAATAAGAAGCTTCAACAATTACCCAATCGTTCATCAATTCTTGGAACTGCTATTAATCTTTCATACCTTAAGAAAGCTGCACCTAAACACAAAGGTGTATGGAATGACAAAGCTGAAAAAGCTCGTGAATATCTCTCAGACCAAATAAAAGATAAAGATGCAGAAAAAGAACTTGAAGAATGTGCGGATAATTATGTAGTTGATAATTGTGTTAAGAAGGTGATTAAAGATAAAAAGAGAAATGCAGTCGTTACGGTGCAAGAGTCTACCACACCAGAAAAATGTGATGACATAGTATCTAAACAAAAGGATGACGGCTCTTTTGAAGTTATTGAGACAATTTGTAAAGAAATAGACGTTCCAGCTACTGATGTAGTAAATGAAGTGAAGGAATGTACAGAAAATCCAAAGCTTAAATCACCAGAATCAGAACCATGGTGGAAGACAGGACTTGCCACTAGCTACCTTAATATCGCCGCACCACATCATAAAAACAAATGGGAAGATAAATCGAAGAAAGCTCAAGAATACCTCGCTAAAGAAATTAAAAATCCTGATACTGAAAAAGAATTAATAGATTGCACTGATAAATATGTCATTGATAATATTGCTAAAAAGGTTGAAAAAGATCATAAGAAAGATGCTGCAATTACTGTTATTCAAGATTCAGCTTCCCCCGATAAACATAAAGACATTGTAACTAAACAAAAAGATGATGGCAGCATTCAACTAGATGACACAGTATGCAATGATCTGGGCGTTCCTAAGGAAAATATAATTGATACAATTAAAAATAACATTACTCATCCCAAACTTCAATTGCCCCAACTTCCATCAATTCTTGAAACTGCTTTAAATCTCTCATATCTGAAAAATGCTGCGCCTAAACATAAAGGTGATTGGGTAGACAAATATAATAAAGCTCGTGATTACATTTCTAAACAGATTGGAGATGCTGATGCCGAAAAAGAATTGTTAGATTGTACTGATAATTATGTAGTTGATAAAGCAACGGATAAAGCGATTGAGGACCATAAAAAGGATGTAGTTGACGTTGTAACCGAACAAATTAGCAAACATGATGCTCTTGCTACGGCTCAAGAATCGGCCTCTCCTGATAAGTGTAAAGAAATTGTATCTAATCAAAAAGATGATGGTTCCATTGAATTAGGTGATACAGTATGCGATGAATTAGCTGTTCCTAAAGAAGAAATTATCCCCACGATCCAAGAGAAAGTCACTCACGAGAAGCTCAAATCATCACCCCCGTCATTATTCTCAACTGCTATCGTTCTTTCTTATCTTAAAAAACTCGCACCTAAACATAAAGACCATTGGAAAGACCAATATGATAAAGCATGTGACTATATCTCTAAAACAGCAGTTGACCACCATGGTGACGATCCGGGTGATTTAAGTTTTTCATTAGTAACGTCCTTCTGAACTGTACTAATAATTTCTTCTTTCGGAAGATCGAGTTCTTTGCATAATGTTTCGTTTAGTTCGATACAACCATCATCACGTGCTGCAGAAGTAATAGCATCGCATACTTCGGGAGTAACACGATCCTGAATAGTGATAAATGCGGCTTCCTTTTCCTTTTGATCTGGTTCTTTATCTGAAATGATGTCCTCGATATGTTTATCGAGAATAAGAGTTTGGGTCGTCTTGTAATGTTTGGCGATTGGTTCATCTTCTTGTTGCACTTTTTCAATTGCTTTATCAATTACATGTTTATCAGTGCAGTCTAATAATTCCTTTTCAGCATCAGCATCACCTACTGTTTTAGAGATATAGTCACATGCTTTATCATATTGGTCTTTCCAATGGTCTTTATGTTTAGGTGCGAGTTTTTTAAGATAAGAAAGAACGATAGCAGTTGAGAATAATGACGGGGGTGATGATTTGAGCTTCTCGTGAGTGACTTTCTCTTGGATCGTGGGGATAATTTCTTCTTTAGGAACAGCTAATTCATCGCATACTGTATCACCTAATTCAATGGAACCATCATCTTTTTGATTAGATACAATTTCTTTACACTTATCAGGAGAGGCCGATTCTTGAGCCGTAGCAAGAGCATCATGTTTGCTAATTTGTTCGGTTACAACGTCAACTACATCCTTTTTATGGTCCTCAATCGCTTTATCCGTTGCTTTATCAACTACATAATTATCAGTACAATCTAACAATTCTTTTTCGGCATCAGCATCTCCAATCTGTTTAGAAATGTAATCACGAGCTTTATTATATTTGTCTACCCAATCACCTTTATGTTTAGGCGCAGCATTTTTCAGATATGAGAGATTTAAAGCAGTTTCAAGAATTGATGGAAGTTGGGGCAATTGAAGTTTGGGATGAGTAATGTTATTTTTAATTGTATCAATTATATTTTCCTTAGGAACGCCCAGATCATTGCATACTGTGTCATCTAGTTGAATGCTGCCATCATCTTTTTGTTTAGTTACAATGTCTTTATGTTTATCGGGGGAAGCTGAATCTTGAATAACAGTAATTGCAGCATCTTTCTTATGATCTTTTTCAACCTTTTTAGCAATATTATCAATGACATATTTATCAGTGCAATCTATTAATTCTTTTTCAGTATCAGGATTTTTAATTTCTTTAGCGAGGTATTCTTGAGCTTTCTTCGATTTATCTTCCCATTTGTTTTTATGATGTGGTGCGGCGATATTAAGGTAGCTAGTGGCAAGTCCTGTCTTCCACCATGGTTCTGATTCTGGTGATTTAAGCTTTGGATTTTCTGTACATTCCTTCACTTCATTTACTACATCAGTAGCTGGAACGTCTATTTCTTTACAAATTGTCTCAATAACTTCAAAAGAGCCGTCATCCTTTTGTTTAGATACTATGTCATCACATTTTTCTGGTGTGGTAGACTCTTGCACCGTAACGACTGCATTTCTCTTTTTATCTTTAATCACCTTCTTAACACAATTATCAACTACATAATTATCCGCACATTCTTCAAGTTCTTTTTCTGCATCTTTATCTTTTATTTGGTCTGAGAGATATTCACGAGCTTTTTCAGCTTTGTCATTCCATACACCTTTGTGTTTAGGTGCAGCTTTCTTAAGGTATGAAAGATTAATAGCAGTTCCAAGAATTGATGAACGATTGGGTAATTGTTGAAGCTTCTTATTTTGAAGCTTTTGTTGAATTGTCTTAACAATTTCTTCTTTGGGGGCATCCAATTCATCACAAACTGTATCGTTTAATTCAATACAACCATCATCCTTTTGATCCGCGACGATTTCTTTACATTTTTCGGGAGAGGCTGCTTCCTCAACAACTATAAGTGCTTCCGCTTTCTCATGATCATCAGGTTTTTTATCTTTATCAAATCCAAGGGCTTTTTCAATTTGATCTTCAAGTTTAACAGCATTGTCATAGATAGTACCGATAAAGCTTTTAGCTTTAGCTTTAGGTTTTTCTTCTTTCGGTATTTCATCTTTCTTGAGATCAATTACATCTCGTTTCTTTTCGTCAATCACTTTAACTGTAGTTTTCTCAACTACAAACTCATCAGCACAATCTAATAATTCTTTTTCAGCATCGACATCACCAATTTGTTTAGAAAGATAGTCACGAGCTTTATTATATTTATCTACCCAATCACCTTTATATTTAGACGCTGCATTTTTTAGATATGAAAGGTTAACTGCAGTTGCGAGACTTGATTTATGCTCAGGTAATTTAAGTTTTGGATTAGTAACTTTCTCTTTAACTGTATCAATAATTTCATCTTTAGGAGCATGCAATTCCTTACATATTTCATCATCAAGTTCAATGCTACCATCGTCTTTTTGTTTAGATACAATGTCTTTATGTTTATCAGGAGAAGCTGATTCTTGAACAACAACAATTGCAACATCTTTCTTATGATCTTTTTCAACCTTTTTAGCAATATTATCAACGACGTATTTATCAGTGCAGTCTAATAATTCTTTTGCAGCATCATCATCTCCAATTTGTTCAGAAAGGTATTTACGAGCTTTATCATGTTTATCTTCCCATTGTTTTTTATGCTGTGGTGCGGCGATATTAAGGTAGCTAAGAGAAAGTGCTGTCTTCCACCATGGTTCTGATTCGGGTGATCTAAGTTTCTTATTTTGTGTACCTTTTTTCACTTCAGTTACTACTTTAGTAGCTGGAACGTCTATTTCTTTACAAATTGTCTCAATAACTTCAATAGACCCGTCTTCCTTTTGATTAGATACAATGTCATCACATTTTTCTGGTGTAATAGACTCCTGCACCGTAACGACTGCATTTCTCTTTTTATCTTTAATCACCTTCTTAACGCAATTATCAACTACATAATTATCCGCACATTCTTCAAGTTCTTTTTCGGCATGTTTATCTTTTATTTGGTCTGAGAGATATTCACGAGCTTTGTCAGCTTTGCCTTTCCATACACCTTCATGTTTAGGTGCAGCTTTCTTAAGGTATGAAAGATTAATAGCTGTTTCAAGAATTGATGGAAGATTGGGTAATTGTTGAAGCTTCTTATCTTGAATCCTTGGTTGAATTGTCTTAATAATTTCTTCTTTGGGTGCATCCAATTCATCACAAACTGTATCTTTTAATTCAATACAACCATCATCTTTTTGATCCGCGACGATTTCTTTGCATTTCTCAGGAGAGGCTGCTTCCTCAACGATTATGAGTGCTTCCGCTTTCTCATGATCATCAAGTTTATCTTTATCAAATCCAAGGGCTTTTTCAACTTGATCTTCAAGTTTAACAGCATTGTCATAGATAATACCGAAAAAGCTTTTAGCTTTAGCTTTAGGTTCTTCTTTCGGTATTTCATCTTTCTTAAGATCAATTACATCTCGTTTCTTTTCGTCAATCACTTTATATGTAGTTTTTTCAACTACAAACTCATCAGCACAATCTAATAATTCTTTTTCAGCAGCGGCATCACCAATTTTGTTAGAAAGATAGTCACGAGCTTTATTATATTTATCTACCCAATCACCTTTATATTTAGACGCTGCATTTTTTAGATATGAAAGGTTAACTGCAGTTGCGAGACTTGATTTATGCTCAGGTAATTTAAGTTTTGGATTAGTAACTTTCTCTTTAACTGTATCAATAATTTCATCTTTAGGAGCATGCAATTCCTTACATATTTCATCATCAAGTTCAATGCTACCATCGTCTTTTTGTTTAGATACAATGTCTTTATGTTTATCGGGAGAAGCTGTTTCTTTAACAACAGCAATTGCAGCATCTTTCTTATGATCTTTTTCAACCTTTTTAGTAATGTTATCAACGACATATTTATCAGTGCAATCTAATATTTCTTTTTCAAGTTCTGCATCGTTGATTTGTTCAGAAAGGTATTTACGAGCTTTATCATGTTTATCTTCCCATTGGTTTTTATGATTTGGTGCGGCGATATTAAGGTAGCTAGTGGCAAGTCCTGTCTTCCACCATGGTTCTGATTCTGGTGATCTAAGTTTTGGATTTTGTGAACATTTTTTTACATCATTTACTACTTTGATAGCTGGAATGTCTATTTCTTTACAAATTGTCTCGCTAACTTCAAAGGATCCGTCATCCTTTTGATCAGACACTATTTCATTGCATTTTTCTGGTGTGGTAGATTCCTGCACCGTAACGACTGCATTTCTCTTTTTATCTTTAATTACCTTTTTAATGCAATTATCAACTACATAATTATCCGCACATTCTTCAAGTTCTTTTTCTGCATCTTTATCTCCTATTTGGTCAGAGAGATATTTACGAGCTTTGTCAGCTTTGTCTTCCCATTTATCTTTATGTTTAGGTGCAGCTTTCTTAAGGTATGAAAGATTAATGGCAGTTTCAAGAATTGATGGAAGATTGGGTAATTGAAGCTTCTGATTTTTAAGCTTTGGTTGAATTGTCTTAATAATTTCTTCTTTAGGTGCATCCAGTTCGTTACAAACAGTATCTTTTAATTCAATACAACCATCATCTTTTTGATCCGCGACGATTTCTTTACATTTCTCAGGAGAGGCTGCTTCCTCAACAACTATGAGTGCTTCCGCTTTCTCATGATCATCAAGTTTATCTTTATCTTGATTAAACCCAAGGGTTTTTTCAATTTGATCTTCAAGTTTAACAGCATCGTCATAGATAGCAGCGATAAAGCTTTTAACTTTAGCTTTAGGTTCTTCTACTTTTGGTATTTCATCTTTCTTAAGATCAATTACATCTCGTTTCTTTTCGTCAATCACTTTATATGTAGTTTTCTCAACTACAAACTCATCAGCACAATCCAATAATTCTTTTTCAGCATCGGCATCACCAATTTGTTTAGAAAGATAGTCACGGGCTTTATTATATTTATCTACCCAATCACCTTTATATTTAGACGCTGCATTTTTTAGATATGAAAGGTTAACTGCAGTTGCGAGACTTGATTTATGCTCAGGTAATTTGAGTTTTGGATTAGTAACTTTCTCTTTAACTGTATCAATAATTTCTTCTTTATGAGCATGCAATTCCTTACATATTGAGTCATCAAGCTCAATGCTACCATCGTCTTTTTGTTTAGATACAATTTCTTCATGTTTATCGGGAGAAGCTGTTTCTTTAACAACAGCAATTGCAGCATCTTTCTTATGATCTTTTTCAACCTTTTTAGTAAGGTTATCAACGACATATTTATCAGTGCAATCTATTAATTCTTTTTCAGCATCAGGATTTTTAATTTCTTTAGCGAGATATTCTTGAGCTTTCTTAGATTTATCTTCCCATTGTTTTTTATGATGTGGTGCGGCAATATTAAGGTAGCTAGTAGCAAGTCCTGTCTTCCACCATGGTTCTGACTCTGGTGATCTAAGCTTTGGATTTTGTGAACATTTTTTTACATCATTTACTACTTTGGTAACTGGAACGTCTATTTCTTTACAAATTGTCTCACTAACTTCAAAGGATCCGTCGTCCTTTTGATTAGATACTATGTCATCGCATTTTTCTGGTGTGGTAGACTCCTGCACCGTTTCGACTGCATTTCTCTTTTTATCTTTAATCACCTTCTTAACGCAATTATCAACTACATAATTATCCGCACAGTCTTCAAGTTCTTTTTCTGCATCTTTATCTGCTATTTGGTCTGAGAGATATTTACGTGCTTTGTCAGCTTTGTCTTTCCATACACCTTCATGTTTAGGAGCAGCTTTCTTAAGGTATGAAAGATTAATAGCAGTTTCAAGAATTGATGGAAGATTGGGTAATTGTTGAAGCTTCTTATGTTGAAGCTTTGGTTGAATTGTCTTAATGATTTCTTCTTTGGGTGCATCCAATTCATCACAAACTGTATCTTTTAATTCAATACAACCATCATCTTTTTGATCCGCGACGACTTCTTTGCATTTCTCAGGAGAGGCTGCTTCCTCAACGACTATGAGTGCTTCCGCTTTCTCATGATCATCAGGTTTATCTTTATCTTTATCAAACCCAAGAGCTTTTTCAATTTGATCTTCAAGTTTAACAGCATTGTCATAGATAGCACCGATAAAGCTTTTAGCTTTAGCTTTAGGTTCTTCTACTTTAGGTATTTCATCTTTCATGAGATCAATTACATCTCGTTTCTTTTCGTCAATCACTTTATATGTAGTTTTTTCAACTACAAACTCATCAGCACAATCTATTAATTCTTTTTCAGCATCGGCATCACCAATTTGTTTAGAAAGATAGTCACGAGCCTTATTATATTTATCTACCCAATCACCTTTATATTTAGACGCTGCATTTTTCAGATATGAAAGGTTAACTGCAGTTGCAAGACTTGATTTATGCTCAGGTAATTTGAGTTTTGGATTAGTAACTTTCTCTTTAATCGTATCAATAATTTCTTCCTTAGGAGCAAGCAATTCCTTACATATTGTATCATCAAGTTCAATGCTGCCATCGTCTTTTTGTTTAGATACAATGTCTTTATGTTTATCGGGAGAAGCTGTTTCTTTAACAACAGCAATTGCAGCATCTTTCTTATGATCTTTTTCAACCTTTTTAGTAAGGTTATCAACGACATATTTATCAGTGCAATCTATTAATTCTTTTTCAGCATCAGGATTTTTAATTTCTTTAGCGAGATATTCTTGAGCTTTCTTAGATTTATCTTCCCATTGTTTTTTATGATGTGGTGCGGCAATATTAAGGTAGCTAGTAGCAAGTCCTGTCTTCCACCATGGTTCGGATTCTGGTGATCTAAGCTTTGGATTTTGTGAACATTTTTTTACATCATTTACTACTTTGGTAGCTGGAATGTCTATTTCTTTACAGATTGTCTCACTAACTTCAAAGGATCCGTCGTCCTTTTGATTAGATACTATATCATCGCATTTTTCTGGTGTGGCAGACTCCTGCACCGTAACGACAGCATTTCTCTTTTTATCTTTAATCACCTTCTTAACGCAATTATCAACTACATAATTATCCGCACATTCTTCAAGTTCTTTTTCTGCATCTTTATCTTTTATTTGGTCTGAGATATATTCATGAGCTTTGTCAGCTTTGTCTTTCCATACACCTTCATGTTTAGGAGCAGCTTTCTTAAGGTATGAAAGATTAATAGCAGTTTCAAGAATTGATGGAAGATTGGGTAATTGTTGAAGCTTCTTATGTTGAAGCTTTGGTTGAATTGTCTTAACAATTTCTTCTTTGGGTGCATCTAGTTCGTCACAAACAGTATCTTTTAATTCAATACAACCATCATCTTTTTGATCCGCAACGATTTCTTTGCATTTCTCAGGAGAGGCTGCTTCCTCAATAACTATGAGTGCTTCCGCTTTCTCATGATCATCAAGTTTATCTTTATCTTGATTAAACCCAAGGGTTTTTTCAATTTGATCTTCAAGTTTAACAGCACCGTCATAGATTGCAGCGATAAAGCTTTTAGCTTTAGCTTTAGGTTCTTCTACTTTCGGTATTTCATCTTTATTTTGATCAATTATTTCTTGTTTCTTTTCCTCAATTACTTTAACTGTAGTTTTATCAATTACATATTCATCAGCACATTCTTCAAGTTCTTTTTCGGCATCTTTATCTCCTATTTGTTTTGAGAGATATTCACGGGCTTTATTATATTTGTCTTCCCAGTCATCTTTATATTTAGGCGCTGCATTTTTCAGATATGAAAGGTTAATTGCAGTTGCAAGACTTGATTTATGCTCAGGTAATTTGAGTTTTGGATTAGTAACTTTCTCTTTAATTGTATCGATAATTTCATCTTTAGGAGCATGCAATTCCTTACATATTGAATCATCAATTTCAATGCTGCCATCGTCTTTTTGTTGAGATACAATTTCTTTATGTTTATCGGGAGAAGCTGATTCTTGAACTATAGCAATTGCAGCTTCTTTTTTAAGATCTTTCTCAACCTTTTTAGTAATGTTATCAACTATATATTGGTCTGTGCAATCTAATAATTCTTTTGCAGCATCCTCATCTCCAATCTGTTTAGAAAGGTATTCACGAGCTTTATTATATTTATCTTCCAATGGCTTTTTATGTTTTGGTGCAGCGACATCAAAGTAGCTAACTGCAAGTGCTGTCTTCCACCATGATTCTGATTCTGGAGATCTAAGCTTCGGATTTTGTGTACATTTTTTCACTTCAGATACTACAACGGTAACTGGAACGTCTAATTCTTTACAAATTGTCTCACTAACTTCAATAGATCCGTCATCCTTTTGACTAGACACTATGTCATCGCATTTTTCTGGTGTGGCAGATTCTTGCGCCTTACGAACTGAATTTCTCCTTTTATTTTTAATCACCTTCTTAATACAATTATCAACTACATAATTATCCGCGCATTCTTCAAGTTCCTTTTCGGCATCTTTATCTCCTATTTGTTTTGAGAGATATTCACGGGCTTTATTATATTTATCTTTCCATTCACCCTCATGCTTAGATGCAGCTTTCTTAAGGTATGAAAGATTAACTGCAGTTGCAAGACTTGATGAGAATTCGGGTGATTGAAGCTTCTTATTCGTAATGTTCTTTTTAATTGTCTTAATAACTTCTTCTTTAGGAGCATCTAGTTCGTCACAAACTGTATCACTTAATTCAATGCTTCCATCTTCTTTTTGATCCGCGACGATTTCTTTGCATTTTTCAGGAGAGGCCGAGTCCTGAACAATAGTAATTGCTTCCGCTTTCTCATAGTCTTTAGGTTTACTTCTATCATATCCAAGGGCTTTTTCAATATTTTCTCCAAGTTTAGCAGCCGATTCATAAATAGAGCTGAAAAAGGATGTATCCTTAGGTTTTTCACCTTTCTTAAGATCAATTACATCTTTTTTATGTTCCTTAATCACTTTATCCGCTGCTTTATCTACTACATACTTATCGGCACATTCCAACAATTCTTTTTCAGCATCAGCATCTCCAATTTGTTTAGAAAGATATTCACGAGCTTTATTATATTTGTCTACCCAATCACCTTTATATTTAGGCGCAGCATTTTTCAGATATGAAAGATTAATAGCAGTTTCAAGACTCGATGAAAATTCGGGTGACTGAAGTTTCTTATTAGTAAGATTCTTTCTAACGGTCTTGATAATTTCTTCTTTAGGAGTATCTAACTCCTTGCATACTGAGTTATCTAGTTTAATGCTGCCATCTTCTTTTTGATTAGACACAATTTCCTTATGTTTATCGGGAGAAGCTCTTTCTTGAATAACAACAATTGCAGCTGTTCTCTTATGATCTTTTTCAACTTTTTTAGCAATATTATCAACGACATATTTATCAGTGCAATCTTTTAATTCTTTTTCAGCATCAGCATCTCCAATTTGTTTGGAAAGAAATTCATTAGCTTTTTTAGATTTATCTTCCCATTGGTTTTTATGATGTGGTGCGGCGATATTAAGGTAGCTAGTGGCAAGTCCTGTCTTCCACCATGGTTCTGATTCTGGAGATTTAAGCTTTGGATTTTCTGTACATTCTTTCACTTCAGGTACTACATCTGTAACTAGAACGTCTATTTCTTTACAAATTGTCTCACTAACTTCAATAGATCCGTCATCCTTTTGATCAGATACTATGTCATCACATTTTTCTGGTGTGGCAGACTCCTGCACCGTAACGACAGCATTTCTCTTTTTATTTTTAATCACCTTCTTAACGCAATTATCAACTACATAATTATCCGCACATTCTTCAAGTTCTTTTTCTGCATCTTTATCTCCTATTTGGTCCGAGAGATATTTACGAGCTTTGTCAGCTTTGTCTTTCCATACACCTTCGTGTTTAGGTGCAGCTTTCTTAAGGTATGAAAGATTAATAGCAGTTGCAAGACTTGACTCGGGTAATTTGAGTTTCGGATTAGTAATGTTCTTTTGAATTGTCTTAATAATTTCTTCTTTAGGTGCATCTAGTTCGTCACAAACAGTATCTTTTAATTCAATACAGCCATCATCTTTTTGATCAGCGACGATTTCTTTGCATTTTTCGGGGGAGGCTGCTTCCTCAACGACTATGAGTGCTTCCGCTTTCTCATAATCATCAAGTTTATCTTTATCTTGATCAAACCCAAGGGCTTTTTCAATTTGATCTTCAAGTTTAGCAGCACCATCATAAAGAGTACCAATAAAGCTTTTAACTTTAGCTTTAGATTTTTCTTCTTTCGGTATTTCATCTTTCTTAAGATCAATTACATCTCGTTTCTTTTCGTCAATCACTTTATATGTAGTTTTTTCAACTACAAACTCATCAGCACAATCTAATAATTCTTTTTCAGCATCGGCATCACCAATTTGTTTGGAAAGATAGTCACGAGCTTTATTATATTTATCTACCCAATCACCTTTATATTTTGACGCTGCATTTTCCAGATATGAAAGGTTAACTGCGGTTGCAAGACTTGATGAAAGATCGGGTAATTGGAGTTTCGGATGAGTAATTTTCTCTTTAATCGTATCAATAATTTCTTCCTTAGTAGCAATCAATTCCTTACATATTGTATCATCAAGTTCAATGCTGCCATCGTCTTTTTGTTTAGATACAATGTCTTTATGTTTATCGGGAGAAGCTGTTTCTTTAACAACAGCAATTGCAGC